TATCCCCTGTGTGCCTTGTCGACTCAGTTATGCTATACGAAGTTATTACGTTGACATTTTTCAAATCGGGCGTGTATTTTTCTCACAAACTACTGAGTCGATCAACTTGCGCTTTTGCATACATATAGTGTACATATTAGGCTATCGTTCGACCCTCCAACTTTTTGATCTCTTGAAAATTACTATTTTTCCGAACCGTGAAAATGGAATATTTTTTATCAAAAATCGAACTATTTTTATTTCAAGCATCGCCATTTTGTCAATTGTTCTTCAAATGATTTACTAAAGGCTCGAATAACCACATTTGTAAGGAATAAAATAAAAAAAACTCGTTTATTTGAAATGACAGCCGCAATCACTACGCCCGATAGAAGAGGAATTTCAAAACATGACCTGCGCGTCCATTTGTGCTGTGTGTAATTCTCAATAAAAAGCATTAAAAAAATTTGAGATGTTCGTTCAAAATATGTATAAATGTAAAAACAAAACATTACATCTATAGGTTCAACCGTTTTTATAAAATTAATTCTCAAAAATCACCTTAAAATCGGACGTTCACATTAGAATACCTCCTTAATAGTTATACTTTTTCGCATCCTGTATATACATGTCCAGAAAGTTAAAAAAAAACTCAATTATACATCACCACGTCATCAATTTTGAGTTCATTTTTAAATGCAAAAAGAATTCTTTTTCTAAAAATTCTGAAATATATACAACTGTATATACAAATAAATTTTTTTAACTCGATCTGCGTGCTACCTGGGTGTGCATACGTGTGCAAGCTTGCAAAGTAAATAAAAATCAATAATATTTTTTTGTTATAATTACGTACATAACTCTGTAATATTTATTGTAATATATTGTATATCGAGCAGAATATTTGGAAAAATTAGTATGTATTTTTAACTTAGAATATCTTAATATAATAATCAATGATATCTGACACGAATGACATCAGACTACGTACATATGAGATAATAGACGATTATCAAATATTGACATATGGAAAGTTTGAAGCACAAATAAGCTAAGCGTGTGAAGTAACAAATGTAATTATATGTGCGTGCGTTTTTCGGAGTTGTCAAATTATTTATAGATATTATTTAAAAATTTTAATAACTAATTAAAATATAATATATATTTTTGGATTATATAATTAAAATAAATATATAATAAAATTAGTAATTAAAATTTAGATTTGATTCTATTGATTTAAGTTTGATATCTTGAAAAAAGTTTTGAAGTTTAATTGCAGTATTATAATTGATGCATGCAACTTTATATGCAATTTTGTATTATCTATGTTATGTCTTGTACCGATATAATTATTTAATTCATGACATTGCTTATTTAATGGCACCACTTCTCAATTAAAAATAAATCAATTAAAAGGAATTGATGATAAAGCAATTTATTGTGAAACTATAAATATCTACGAAATTAGAAATTAATACGAAATTAGAAATTGCACACAGAACTTTAAGACATTATCTTTTGCATGTTTTTTTCATTTGTTTCAATTGTTATATCGGGATAAGACATATCGGGTGATACAAGAAATCAATCTGTTATTAAAAATTCTTTGTAAGATATATTCTTTAATTATATTTATTATTTAATATATTATTTAATTTCAGAAAATTATAAAATAAAAATAAATTTCTCGAAATTTATTTAAATTGATTTATTTTTGTTTACATTGTTTAAAAAGATATCAATCATACGTTAAAGATATATTTGAATAAGGATTCCAAAAATATTTATACAAACAATTAATATATATGAGTCCCTCGAATTTTTTGTATCTTTTTTTTATTTAAATGGAGTAAGATTTCTTTTGTAGAGAAGAATAGAAAAACTCAGATTAAAAATAAACTTGTATTTGCTACACCATTGAAAAAATGACATTTTCATAAAAATAATGTTGTTAGCAATAAAATTAAAGAGATAAAAATTGACAAAAGTAAAGTCAATTACAAAATTCTGATCCCATAACTGGTGATGCAACTTTGTCTCGCCCAGAAGAATCATTATCATTAACCTTCGATTAACTTCGATCCATCCGAAATAACAAGGGATATCGCGTAGACAGCGAAATCTTGCACGGTGGTGGGTCAATGGGTCACCACTGATAATGTCTTTGTTCGATACGATTTTGGTATAAAAGACTCGCACCGCTCGGTAGACAGCATGCGGCAAACGGCATTAACAGCATCACAATGAGGTGTGCGATCGTTCTACTGGCTCTGGCAGCTTTTGGGGCAGCTCTACCCCAACAGCAGCAGAAACAACATGCTGGTAAGTAATCGCTATTTTATTCAAGTTATCTTTATGCTTCCTTTATATTTTTCCTTCTCTGTTTATCTGTCTATCTCTTCATTTCTCAAAGAATTAAACGACTGTGACTATGATCCAACTTGATGCTACAAATGGTTTGAAGCATTTTTATTGATTAATTAGTAAAATTCTTTCTTTTGATTGGTCAGTCAAATGCTTGGAAGTATTTGTAGAGTCAAGTAAACCGTATTTTGTATAATCTTTGAAAAACACTAGAAAAAAGTTACCACACTTTCTATTGTTTTTATACTTTTAATATGATTTAGATTATTAAGGTGATAACGCCAACTCGATAGTGTGACGTTGTCATATAAACGTCACACAATCGCATATGTACATCTATCTATGTATGTATGTACGTCTATGCGAAATGTTTTTATTGAATTACACTTGTTTTTATTGAATTATTAGTCATATGGAGGGACTAACTTTTGACCGGGACTTGCCCGATAAAACCTTAAGCGTTATATTATATGTAAATATTTGTCTAATAGACGCAAAAAATATTAATATTTTTATATAGAACTTAATTCGAAGAACACAATTAAACGCAATTATTTCTTTGTCTTCTTAGCTGATCAAGATCTTCTGAAAAAGCAACAAGATACTGTACTGTTGTTGCAACAGATTACCCAAGAAATCCCAAATGAGCAGCTGCAGATCCTTGGAACCACTTATGACATTGAAAACAACTACCACCAATATGAGAATCCGATCCTCGTGAAATATTATTTGGGCGCTGTACAAGCCGGTCTGGTTCAACCAAAAGGCACCGTCTATTCGAACTCCATCAGCCAACTTCGTAAAGAAGTTTCCCTTCTGCATAGAATCTTATTAGGCGCTAAGAACTATCAGACATTCTTAGCAACCGCCGCATGGGCCCGTGTCCACGTTAATGAGGAACAATTCGTCAAGGCTTTCATTGGAGCCGTTCTTCAACATCCAGAGACACAGGGCATTATCTTACCGCCTCTGTACGAGATCATTCCTCAGTACTATTTCGATGCTAGGATCATCCAAGAAGCACAGAACATTGTTGCGCAAGGTGTTGGCTACAACCAAATAATCCCTGTTAACTATACTGCCCATTTGTCCAGCAGTGAACATCAACTTTCTTACTTCACGCAAGACGTCGGCCTCGCTAATTACTATGGCTACGTTAATCTCGCTGGATATTTGTTGGAGGTAAGCATAATATCTCAATTAACGCAAATATATAATTACAAAACAAGCTTCTCATATAAAAGGAGAAAGAAATATTTTAATTCGTTTCATTAAAATTAGCCCCTGTATTAATATTCTTTAATATACTATCAGCGCGGACACCAAACGCCTGAACAATATCAGCAACAAAATCAGGAAGGTCAAGTTAATCAGGGATCTGTTTATTATTACCTTCACCAACAACTGCTGGCTCATTATGAACTAAATCGTTTGTCGAACGGATTGGGCCCAATTGAAAACACTGATTACGTCAACGTACAAGCACCATATCAGCCACATCTCCGTTACATAAACGGACTCGAATTACCTGGACGCCCGCAGAATCTACATCTCAGTCCCTACAAGAATCATCTTATCCAGACTGTTAAGAAGATTGAGCAAAGATTGATTGAAGCTATTGATTCTGGGCATGTCATCACTCCGCAAGGCACTTTCCTCTCTCTTTATCAGCCGCAAGGTTTGAACATTCTTGGAGAACTCATTCAAGGAACTGGCAGAAGCGTTAACCCAAGGTCAATTTTTAACTAATTGTTCAACTAATCGCTCGTATCTCGCAATACTCTCAACAATATGTTTTCCATCATAGGTACTACGGCAGTCTTCAAGCCGCCGCGCGTCAACTCCTCGGCAATGCTCCTGAAGTGCAGAATATCTATGATTATACTCCTTCTGTTCTTGAATTGGGACAAATTGCTGTTCGTGATCCAGCTTTCTACCAGCTCTACAAGAAAGTTATCCAATTGTTCACGCATTACCAGAACTCCTTGCCCGCATATCAATACAACGATATCCTTTTGCCCGGCGTTAGCATCCAGAACGTTCAAATTAGTCCCCTGGTAACTCTCTACAACAATTACTATGTCGATCTTGATGGAGCTACTCAACAACAAGTTAGCCAACAACAGCAAGTCCAACAACAACAACAACAACAACAACAACAACAACAACAACAACAGCAACAACACATCAAAGCTGAAGTGAAGAGATTAGACCATAAACCGTACGAATACCAAATTACTGTCCAGAGCGAGCAGAACGTTCTCAGTGCCGTTGTCCGCGTCTATTTGGGACCGAAATATGACTACCATGGCAAACCCATCAGCATCTCCCAACACAGGCATCAATTCGTAGAACTCGATCAATTCATAACTGATCGTATGTATTAACGTATATAGTATTCAGCATTGCAAGATTGATTAAATACACATATACAAATTGTTTTTTTAATTAAATGAATTATCTAATTTCTTTGTTTTATAGTTCAGCAAGGACAAAATGTCATTGAAAGACAATCTCACCAGGCACCAGGCCAGAGCTTCGACTACCCATCTGTTCAAGAAATCAAGCAGGGTGTCAACAGTGCTACTCATGCCCAAGAACCGTACTACATCACTGAAGTAATTTTTTTTCTTTCTATCTTACGTAGATATTTTATAATGATTATTTCAATAAATGACTGTAAATATTTTTCAGCCACACCAGATCTTCGGTTTCCCAGCTAGATTGGCTCTTCCCAAAGGTCAACCTGGCCAAGGATATCCAGTTCAGCTGGTAGTTGTGATCTCTCAACCAGGACAACATAATGTACCTTACGGACCGGTGATCCCGGAACAATATCAAACTTACCAACAAGGCGAATATCAAGTAGTTGGTACCGAGAACTATCAGCAGATTCAGCAAGGTGGCAAATTAGTCGGTGTGAAACAGACTGTGGAGGTTGTACCAGAAACTCTACCGATCACTCAGCAAGAGAATCAAGGTACACTACCGATCATTTCGCCATTGAGTAGCATAAAATAATAAATAAATCTCTCTTTTGCAGTTATAAGGAACCATTATGCTAACCTTTATACTCAACAACATGGACAGTACCCGTATACTCACTCCCAGTATCAAGTAGGCCAAGGACAAGTTTATGGACAGAATGTTTATGGTGTGCAAAGTCATTACTATGGACAACAAGGACATCAGGGACAACAGGGACAACATGGACAACATGGACAACAAGGACAACAAGGACAACAAGGACAACAAGGACAACAGGGACAATATCAGTGGAGTCAAGAACAGCAACAAAATCATTGGAGTCAACCTCAGGGTATCTACCAAGGACAACAGGGACAGTATCAACAGTATCAACATGGCCAACAAAATACAGTAGGAGTCCAAGGAATACCAACTGGTGTACATGGCTCACAACAAGGTATCCATGGAGTACAAGGAGTACAATCAAGCGTACAAGGTGTCCAAGGTGTCCAAAATGTACAATACTCTGGATTACAAGGAACTCAAGGCGTCCACAGCGGCATTCAGTCTGGAATCCAGGGTAAATATCATGTTACTTATCAAGGACAGAGCCAACAACAGCAGGGACTTGGCGTAGGATATACTGGTAGCGGACAATACCATGCTGGTGGTTTCCAAGGCATCTTGGGTCAGGGACACAAATCGCAGGATGCATACGTCAGCAAATACTACCAGAATAAGCACATCTCTGAAATTATCGGTGGCGCAATCTCTCTCGACGGTAAACCTCTAGGCTACCCGTTGGATAGACCTTTGACCACCGGTGCTCTTTCCGTACCTAATGTCTACGTTCAAACCGTTCATATTCATCATGAAGGTCAACCTACCAACGAAGTATACTATCAGTGAAATGTTCCTATAAAACAGATATAATAGATATATGGCATCATTAGATGTAACAATATTTGTCCAAGAGTTATTTTTTTCGTTTATGTAAAAAAAGGTTTATCAATTTATTGCAAATGCAATTAATAAATTGCCCTAAAACGCAAATCTTTAGATTTATTTGTAACGCAATTTCTCTTTCTACTTTCCTTTCTCTTTTATATATACGTACGCTTCCTCCACAGATTTCTATGTATTAACTAAATTGCTTACTCTGACTTTGAAATTATTTTTGAAGAATGAAAGTAATCATTTTTACTTATTTTATAATATTCACATATATAATGAGTATTCACATATATAATGACTAAGGTAGCGCTCATTCACGTGTATGTATTATATATATTCACATGACATACACTCAGATCACATGTGATATAATACTACCTTACAGTATGCATACATGCGCAATAACAAGTCAAAATATTGATGCGTAAAAATGGATGTGTTACGGGCGAAGTCCGCATAGTGTGCAATGTCGGCATTGCACGGACCGTGTCAACATTGCACAAAGCCATTGGGCAAAGCTGCTAAAATGATTTTATTAGTGAACATAGCCCAGTTTTGTATGGGCAAGATGCACTTGTCTCTCTCTCTCTCTCTCTCTCTCTCTCTCTCTCTCTAGCTCTCTCTAGCTCTCTCTAGCTCTCTCTCACCATGCGCGCGCACGCGTTATAATAATAAAATTGAGTCTTTTGCACAAATATCGTTTTATTAAGAAAGTTTTATCATCTTCTTAGCAATCTTCTAACAACGATATAAATCCGTTGCCGTTTTGATGTATGATCATTCACCAGTCATCATCTCCATAAATTCTATAAACAAATTTAGTTTCTATTAAGATAAAAGATAAATTAATGTACCTGATCTTATATATCTCAATAATAACTATTTTATATACATTAATACATATACAGGGTGTTCATAAAGTATCGGACCCCCCCTCTATCATCAGATAGCCAGGGAAATTTCCTAAAAATTTTGTATTTAAAGTTTTTTTATCCAGTAGTATTTTCTGAGATAGAAGAGGGGTCCGATACTTTACGAACACCCTGTATATATATATTCCTATATTTTTGTATGAGTGAATTTTTCTTA